GTGTGTGAGGTGTAGCAGTGTGTGTGTGTGCGGTGTAGCAGTGTGTGTGTGTGTGTTTGTGTGTGTGTGTGCGGTGTAGCAGTGTGTGTGTGTGTGCGGTGTAGCAGTGTGTGTGTGGTGTAGCAGTGTGTGTGTGTGGTGTAGCAGTGTGTGTGTGTGTGTCTTCATGTGCACACTGTACCTTTTTCCAGGAGCAGTCGTCACAGTCGGGGTCAAGGGTCACTTCACTGGGTTTGAACTCGGCGATCACCTCATGATTCTCGTCCAGCAAACAGACGCTGAGCTCGTAAGTGCAGCCGCAGTCCGTCCGTCCCGAATACCTGCTCACACATCCCCACCGTTACCGACAGCATCACAGCAGCAGGAGGCTCGGGTTCATTATGGGGTGGTAAACAGACAGAGAGGTCAGAAACCAGCATTGATTACAGGCCACAGGCCGAACCCAGGCGCCAGTGTGCCAACCATCACAACGTGAGCAGGGAGCCTCACCAGTCTTCCACCTCGATGGCAGGCTGGGCGTCCAGCTCTTCAGGGCTGTACTCCTCTGCCAGCAGGTCCACCTCCTGCTTCTTCAGACACCGCCTGCAGGAGAGGCAGGGCCGTCACGTCTCTCTCCCCCTGCCCCCCGAGCCCCCCCCCTTCCTCCCTCACTCACTCGAAGGAGGTGACGAAGAACGTCTTCACCGCCTCGTCACAGAAAGCGCTCCCACAGTCCCCAGGCATCTCCTCCACCCGCCACTCGTTGCCGCCGTTCTCCGTGATCTCCCAGAATTCCATCTGCCCTGAGAGAGACAGGAGCCGTGCGCAAGCTCACTGGTCATGCTGGCAGAGCCCGAGAACAGGGCGAGACGCAGCCCCTGTCTCAGACCTCACTGCCTCACTGGTCAGTCTGGCAGAGCCCGAGAACAGGGCGAGACGCAGCCCCTGCCTCATCGCCTCACCACCTCACTGCCTCACTGGTCAGGCTGGCAGAGCCCGAGAACAGGGCGAGACGCAGCCCCTG